TAACCCTAAACTTTTCATACGAAACATTTTTCTCTATCCCTACTAGTTTTCGAGATATTTGACTGGATCACTTCAGATGGTCCACCCTGTATATTAAATATTTTATAATAGTTTAAATAAAATATATAACCTCAACACGCGTCCCGATTGTACCGATTCTTATTCGAAATGCAGCTAGTTAGTTCTTGATTTGGCCAACCTCCGGACCTGATGGCTCTGAGATCTTGGATTCCAGTAATGGCTACCGTTAGCAGTCCAGAGGTATATAGTCAAAGTCTTTAACCACATTGCGAAAATTGCAAAATGGTAGAGAACTTTTTGACTTAAGGCCGCGGCACAGACTTTTGCATAAAGCATAATGCATAGTGCATAAACGAATCAACTAATCAGAATCTTTCCTTTCCTCCCATTCCATGGAAAAGAAAAATTTCGATTGATTGATTCTCTTATGCACTATGCGTTATGCGTTATGCAAAAGCTTGTGTCTGGGCTCTTAAGCGGGGAGCACAGACTCTTGCATAACACATAACACGTAATGCAATAAGAATATGTACCAATCGAAGTTCTTCGTTTCTTTTCCTTCCATGTAATAGAGAACTCTGGTTGGTTCAATTTCTTATGCCTCATGTGTTATGCATTATGCAAGAGTCTGTGCTCCCCGCTTTAGTTTAGTCCGCTCTATCTACACACAAGCACTTGGCAAAAACTTACGGGACATCCTGTATATATAGTTTTGTTCTTATAAAATCCAGAGGTGCTAGTGTCCAATTTTCAATATGACGACGTCCATACAGCAGTTTTACAACGGAAGGATCCCATTTGCCTACAGTTCTGATTGTACACACCACTCATATCAACTGGTGCCTAGTAACTTTTTACTGTTTTGCCAATGAGATTATTTTATTTTTAAATTGGCCAATCAGCGATACCTGTGTGCAATATGCGATGTGTGCAATCGGAGCCCTCCCTTTACAACTGTTATAAAATTCTTTACTATGATTGGTTTTGCCCTTAGTTGCTCACTGGATCTAAATGTATAAACCAATCATGGACGTTTTTTCGTTATTCAACTAGAAGCTATCGCAGCTAAGATTATCTTTGTCTTCAGGAATCAAAAGACGAAGATAGCCTTAGCCGTGACCAGGGTTGAGGATTTATTAAACATAACATATTATACATGGTTTTTATACTGTATAATATCATATGTTATGTATTACACGTACGTTTTATACGTTTTATATGTATATTATACGTATTATACATAAGAAACTATTCGCAGCTCTAAATTGCCCAACCCTGGCCGTGACCGTGGTTGCATAACGAAAAAATGCCACATAAGTACTCAAGAATTTTACACAGCTGCAAAGCTGCTTTTTTTACTGAACGCAGCCAATAGCCTCACTTTTTGTCTCAGTCATGAAGCAATCATGAAGAGTTGAGGAATGAAAACTAATGAAGATGAGGAACAATAATCTCTTTTCTTAGTTGTTTCGAATTATAATTAATTTTATATAAATATACAAATACTTTTATTGCAACATGTCGAAATTGTCTTCTCTACTGAAAAAAAATCATGTCACATAGTTGCATCATGAAATCATGTATTTGAAACATGTATTAAATCACGTAACGGATTGTTCCAAATCAGTACGTGATTTTAAAATTATACATATTTTCAAAAGTCACATGATATGTTCTTTTTCCTTCTATTTCTATCAATCAATTCTTTAAAATTCGATAACTATATATATATATAAAATCACATGATGGACGAAATTATATTTGTAATATCAGATGTGATTTTTCAAATCATATCATTTTAAAAAACGTATTGATTTGGAACAATCCGTTACGTGTTTTACATATTTTAATTACATGATTCCATCATATATAACGTTGTGACATGATTTTTTTTCAATAGGGTTTCTGTTTTCATTTCATGTTATATATAGTCAAACCTATAGATGCAATAGCGATATACACAATTATATGTATATTATATATAAATTCGTGTATGTATACAATATATATTTGTAAGAAATATCGCTCTGCATAAAGATATAGATACACACAACTCACGAAAACGTTGTAAACAATAATTAAGATTCACACAGCATATGGTAGCCGATGATACGATATCCAACAAGAGAATTCGGTTCTAGTTAGTGACATTTTTGTCTTCAGGAAACAAATTCTCTTATTGGATATCGGACGTCATACGTCGGATGTCGTACGCTATGTAATAAAATGTGTATAAACGATCAGCCAAGGATGAGTGACAAAACACGTTAGACACGTGGATTCGAATAACTTAACATTTCTCACATTACAAATGCTGAAAATGACATAGATTATAGAATGCTTAATACGGATTTGTACAGATATGACCATTGCAACGAAACCATCTACTACGAATTTGAAAGAGTCGCAAAGATTACCGCTTTCGATCAAATCTTACTGGCCGTAAAAAAATCGTAGTCAAGACGTCGATAACTCCATTGAGAGCTTCTCCAAACGATGATGTGATGTATTGGAACATTAGTTCGATATAATTCGTGTTCTCATCGTCGCATTCCTCGCCGAAGAAATAGTCGTACATCATACGCAAAAATATCACCGCGACGTACATCGCGATACACAGCAGTGCTAATAGAATTATAAACGTTAAATTGAAAAATAAAGATCAAATTGTTTATAATTAACCCTTACCGTACTAATATGGGTAACTAGTGACCGAGCGATTCCTGTTCATGCAAGTTTCTTTGAGTCTTTCGGTAATTATAAATTATACTACATTTTATTATTTTCCAAAATAAAGAGTCAATATTTATTCTAGAAAGTTGAAAGTATGTTGGTGAATTTTTAGACTATTTTTTTTATTATTTTGAAGAGGTGAAAAAACGAAGAGATTCGAAGTGATCCTTGATGGTATGGATGAGGCACCAAATTGTAGATGGTATGGTAAGGGTTAATGTACCTTTCTATCAATGCAGGTTAATCTCGATTTAATTTATTGTATTCTCTATCTTTTTCTAATTCTTACAATTAGAAGAAGATAAGTTAAAGACTAATGTTTATCTACACATTGACAGAGATGGGGTTAAGAATTAAATTAATTGAAAAAAGTATAACTTTGTTGAACGAGCGAGCGAGAGCAAGAAACATATTTATTGTAAAATTTAACGACAAAGGAGCATAAAACCACTGCACAGGTTGTTTTTTGTAATATTTAATATATTACAAAGATACAGATTTAATTTAGACGTTTCGGCCAATATATGTGGCCATCTTCAGTAAAAATATAAATAATATTCCGCATTAGTTACATTTAAACAATAAAATTCGCAGTCATATATTTTAATTAAGATTTCATTCCTTCATCAACCACGTATTATGGTTTCACGAACAAGATGAAAGAGAGCGTGATTTTTAATTAAAATGTATGACTGCGAATTTTATTGTTTAAATTTATGTAACTAATGCGGGATTATTTATATTTTTACTGAAGATGGCCAAATATTGGCCGAAACTTCTAAATTAAATTCGAATCTTTGTAATATATTAAATATCACAAAAAACAACTTGTGCAGTGGTTTTATGCTCCTTTGTCGTTAAATTTGATTAAAAAACTACTTTCTTATTAATTACATATCTATTGTACCTATGGCCCGAAGTCCGAGCAATCGTTTGCTCGCTCGCTTCATTCTTTTTCGTTGAATCTTCTTCACCAGCATGGAGGAGGGTAATGCAGAAACGCTTTCTCGTGCAACAGATGTCATGTTCGGATTTGGAGACGTTCTTTCATCACCAGTCGCCCGAGTTGAATCTCGAAGCGCTGTATTGATCACGCAGGAAAGGACAGAACATTGTCGTAATGTCTGAGATTCAGGTAGATGCTCGTTTAAACATTCGTTTTTTTCTTTTGCGTTATCTGGCTTGATTTTACACCGGAGTTTCCAGTAATACTCCCAATAACTTTTGTTCAACAGCTCTTGAGTCTCTAGGGGAATAGATGATGGCTTCTCAAATGAATTTCTCGTTCGTAGATTCGTCAACGAACGAGAATTTATTCGATCTTGTTTCGACGCATTGTACTTTACTAATATAGAATTCGTACTATTTATTCCGTTTCTTCCGTGTAACGATTGGCTTATTTTGGAGCGACCGCGGCTCTTTTTATATCGTTTACCTTTAATGCCACGATAACTAGGCAGTATCAGAGTACAGTCGGAATCTGTAATCGCGAAACGGGATTTCTTCCGTAAGAATGACTTTGCCTTTTTCGACAGATTCATCGGTGCCGTTTTACGTTTCACATTAATGCGCAGTTCTCCTCCATGTTTTTCCTTCTTATTTTCTTTTTTCTTGTTACTTTTGTTATATTCCTCCTTATCGTCAACTTGACTAAAGGCTAAACTTTTACCCAGTACTCTGTCATTTATTACATTTGTCCAAGATTTAACTGCATTGTCTCGATCATCTTTTACGTGATACGCCAGCTTTTGTATCCCAGTGTCGACACATGAATATATCTGTGCTTTCGCCATCTTTCTTTCGCTCGATTTCGACATTTCTCTCTCGTTTTTTTCTCCATTTGCGATACAAGAATCTATCACGTAGCTTTGATCGATGAAATTTTTTAATCTTGCAGCGATATTTAAATTTGAGTAACTTAAACTTTTATCATTGTTGATGTCAATTGCATTATTTAATTCTAACTCATCAAAGTTTCCACAACGATCATTATCGAGCGTGATATTCTTTATAATATTTTGATTCAACGATGCGACGTTTTCTTTCGCGCTTATTTCGCGCTCGGAAGTGTGGTGTCCTTCACAATTTTTGGAAATACTCTTATTCTTCGAAATATCATCGTTACTCTTTGCGTTATAACACTCAATATCTAAAAACAGCAAAATTTCAATCGTTCTTATCTTGCCAAATTATCGATAATATTAAATTAAAAATAATTTTGTGGCTCTAAAAATAAATCAAATACAAGTAAAATGCCTATATGAGCTCCCGCGATTGTTGATACGTAAACACAATAGTATATTCTATAATCCACACTAAGGACTCAAAGATTTTAGAATTCAGATTCGAAACGTTTGCAAAACGTAACTTTGTTGCTAAGTACGTTCCAATCGTTTGCGATCTTGTCGCCTTGTAAATATATTATTTATATATCAATCGTGAAGACTCATATTGGAATTTTACTTATATTTTATTGAGATAATGATGTATTACTATCAAGTGGATATTTTTCATTCTTAGATTCCCTGAAGCTATGCATCGAACTGATACTCTTCATCGATTCTGTACAGACATTCCCGACGATTTCTCGACCTTTCACACTGTCACTTTGACACACGGATGGCATGTTAACATCCTTTTCCATTTGCATAAGCATACTTGATATTTGTAAAGGTGTATCGCGATATGCGACTACAGGAATTTGAACGCTGCAACACTGTAGTGACTGCGTGGCCGAGGATGCAGTTTCTATGTTAACAGGATTGATAGGTAGCGTGTGTATCCTTTTCTCATTAACCATTAAAAACAGTGGCCTATTAGTCTCCTAAGACACATAAATACACGATAAAAGCCTCCTTTTAATATGCAATGCTAATCATAACGCGCGATCGCAAATTGAAACCTTGCATACTTGTTTTTGTTCTTGAGGAAATCTATTTTCAACGTCGTATTGCTCGTTAGTCGCATACTGCAAGGCTGCAATCAATTTACAATTAAAATCGATTTTAAAGGTTAATTGAATCAATCGTTTCACACGATATGACAATTTTATACAATTACTTGGACAGTATTTCGCTTCTAAAATGGATTGTTCATCAATAGGATAATCAGTCATCTGGTTCGCCGATTTTGTTACATTTAATAAATGATCTACATCGTGACACGTTGGTATATAATTGTTTACGCTTTCGCTCGTTTCCCGCAATTTATTTTCAAGCTTTTCAGTTCTTTGCGTGATACGTGTGTCTAACTCTGGTGTTTGTTCATCATTTTTTGTGAAATAAAATTCATTTGGTTTCTCAGCCTTTTGCCGTGATATCTGTCTGCATTTCATTACAAACTGTATTGATATGGCATGTTAACGAAACGAAACGTAGATAAAAATATATTAAATAATGTTAAAAAAATATAATAAATATAATAAAAAATATATTTAAAAAAATAAATTTGAGCAGACTATAATATATATGTATATTATATATGTGTTTGTGTGTGTGTGGGAGGGGGGGCAGGTTACTGTGTGCCACTTATTATATTTCCTGTAGAGAACTGACTTGCCATAAAGTCACGAGTTATTACAAAGCGTAAATTTAATATGAAATATATTATCTTGGAGAAATTAATGCCTTTTAAAACGTGGATCAAAACAGCCAGGTATTCTTTTCGGTATTTGCGTGATTGCTTTGCATTCTTGGTTTAATCTTGATTTGAGATGTCTAAAATAAAACAAGAGAAAAAAATAGGAAATGCAGCAATACTCTTATCTCATCGCAACACAAAGTTATGTACATACAATTATAACAAGCAGTATCTGAAATGCTTGAAACTTACTGGCTTGCAACAGTTTGCATTACACTACGACCTTTTCTGGGAGTCCCTGTCAAAGTGATCACACATGGAGGTTCAATAATGTCATCGGTAATGTTGCTTGAATAACGTAGAGGTATTTTGGGCCAAGATGGATCGGAAGGAATTCTAATATCAAAGATATGATGGTAAAAAAAATTGAACAAGATTTTATTTACTCTTACCACCGACGAGATACTATTAAAGACCGTCAACTCTGGGCAAACTTTCAGCGGTATAAAAAGGATCCCAAGGACACGGAGGTAATTGAAGAACGCTGACATTATTGATAATTGATATAAATTTGCTATTATTAACATAAATATTTGGCTAATATATTATTAAATTCATGATTTTTTACTACATAAATGCTCCATAAATAAATATGCATACTTGTAAAGCTGTAATATCCTATATATTGCCAAAAAATTATAATTTTTTTTTGCAGTTATCATCTCTGTTGATCAAACTTTGACGAGAACATTGAAATCACAATTTTAAAGAAAAATCAGGTATTATTGAGTTCTAAATGCATAAATACGTCTACTAAACTAATAAATCATAAAATTAATGCAATATTATCCGTTTTTAACGTTTAATCACTTCAGTATTCACAAGGACGCAAACTTCCATAAGGATGTCGGTCTTTAATGGTATCTCGTCGGTTGCTCTTACTCAATAATATAATAGTATGCATAATTATATATACCGTAACGTGCCGATATTACACTTTTCTGAAATTGCTGATAAATTTTGTCCATTTACTAAAAACGTAACAAATATTAAAATCATATGTACTATTGTTTCTGTACGATTTTCTGTAATATTTTTTGTTCTTACCTTTTATGTGCAATTCGAGTGTTTGGTTATCGTGTGCCATGTCGCAAAAGTTTGTATAATTGTGAATATTTCAAGTCCTATATTGCGCTATTTCAGAAAATCAGAACTTGATACATTAGCCTAAAAAGTTGTACGAGGCACGATTGTGTCAATTACATGTTTCTTCTCATCATTCGAATGCCGTTTTTTATACAACCGAATTCTAAATTTTGTTTATCGAGATTCACTTGTCTTGGAATTATTTTTTCTTATTACCGCGTAAATGTGGATGTATAAATGAAATTGTTAAGGATTATACTTTATTATCACATAATTTTTATATAATATGTATACAACTTTAAATTTAACTTTAGAACATAATATTTACACTGAATATACAATAGACATAGTTATAGCCAGTCTTGGGTTTCGATAGAGAGAGAAAATGTTGAAACGTTTTCTTTTTTTAATTTTGAATACAAGATCACGCGAACAATTTACACCATCCGAACATTAGCAAATGTCTTTTATGGTGGAATCAGATTCCACTTCTCTATAATGGATATGACCGAAAGCGAAAAATACCTTTCGATTGATGTGCGATCTCAACGCACAAATTCAATTTCAAGTCTGGTTATAACATTACAGGAACGATCAATTACTATTTACTCGAAATTCTCTTAATAAATCGCATTATACTATATTCTAAGATATATTTACGCAACATTATTATTTATTGTTATATCACATCACATCATTAATTTAACATTGCAACTGCCCTTTGATCTTTTTATTTATTTTTTTTCGTCAAAGATGTTGCTTTCTTACAAACTTGTTTTCTCTTTGAAATATGTGTGTGTGTGTGTGTGTTCGTCCTTCTATACAAATTACCCCGCTGCTTAAATTGTCTCAATGCTGTACTCTAGCGTAGATACATATGCATACAATTTTTAAAGACATTTTACACAAAGTCGGAAATTGTAACATTTTTAATAAAAATACGACGTAGCGTAATGCGCCGCTTAATTGAATGAGATCAGTCGAGATGTATATCAATTCTTCAAAAGCCAGATATGAACGTTTCGATTTCCAATTGTGTACCGCGGATAAGAGATATAAAGTTTAAGTTTTACGACTACGTGGGACAGCACATAAGTGTACCATATTCCATCTTAAACAAATTTTATGTGTCCATTTTTTCGAATAATTAACAAATCTGTTACAGAATTTTGAAATCAGTAAACATTTTACATTGCAGTTTACGATACTCATTTTACTCGTGTATCTTATCTACAGCTTGTTAATATTTGAACACATAGTGATAAAACTTGTGCGTATCGAAGCGGAAGAAAAATTTTAAACATAAATTATTTCAGTTGTAACAACTGAATTAAATCACGAAATTAAATCATGTTTAGTATATAGCGGGATGTGAGCCGAATGAAGGTGTGTCATGACTAGACTAGACATTTGAAATATAAATGAATCATTGTTCTCGCCGAATATATAAAACTTTGATCTCATGTTATTGAGTTTCTACTCTCTATGAATGAGTACTTACTCTTCATTTTACTATCAACAAATTTTTATTGGTCCAAAGCTTTATAGCACTCTCTTTCCTCACTATGTAACTCTTAGTAAAACTATCTCATTTATAATACTTCGTCTAAAATCAGCCAAATACTAAAAATAATAAGTACAGAATGCACTAGTGCTCCGTTATGAAAACGTTACTTTTAGCACGTAGCAGAGTGCCATTTGCTTTTGTTAATAAGTTATTCATTCATTAATCGTGTTATAAAGCTTTAATAGCATAAAAAATATTACTGTTTAGTGAAAAGTATAGTCTTATGAAGGAATATTTCTTTGATTTTCATTAACTTTCTATTATATAGTATATATACAGATTTTGGTAAAGACACTGAATTTCTGGTTCTTTGCGAATCCAGTTATAGGATAGGGTATAGCGCAAGACCCAAAAGACGCATAGTCTCGAAATAACAATTATTATGTTATTACCAGATCTTAGTGGCACAGTTTATGAAAGCCACATTCATTTGCAGAATAAATTGGTAAGAAATGTAAAAAGAGGTAGCTTCGGAAATGCATAATGAGCTCGAACAAATAAAGCATGTTAATTGCGTCGTAAATTGACTTGCAATCGTTATTGTCCGGCAGTAATATCATTTTGTGATGTTAGTATGAAATAAAGCGATACATTCGCGTAGAAAAAGTAAGAGACTCTGTGATAATCATTACTGCACACAGTAAGATATAAAACTTAAAATGATTTAAATGAAAGTGGGTATTTACGGCCGATGGAGGCACGTACTTACCGAGAAATGTGTGCTTATTAATTAAGATGTTATTACAATGATGTATGTAACACACAAGGTGTTTTATTTTCAATTCTCTCATTATTGTCTTGTTAAGCTTCATGATCACCACTGTCTATTCCTATTAAAGATTCTGTTTGCTCTGCTTCAAGATCTGGGATCCTGAAAATATTGATTTCTCATTTCATAATTTGTATGTATGTGTAGTACAGTTAGTACGTGTGTGTTACGATATTATAACTCTAGTCAATTTATATTGTTATTCTGATTTATATAATATTTATATCATACATGTTAATGCATGCTTTACCTTGTAGATCTGTTGTTTTTCCTGCATATCCAGATGAAAAACCTTTTAATTAAATCCATAACAGGATCCCAATTGTCGTAATAAGATAAAAGAGATACTGTCAGGAATGCTAAAAGCATTGGAATACTTCCCAAATAGAAAATACAAGGGTACTCAACTTTTTTCAAGAGGACATCGGCTACCATTGACATGGGCATTGTTAAGCTTACAGCCATTGTTGCTACGAGAGATGATGTTAAAAAGCAACCCCTGTAGATACAATAGAATGCAATCACGTTACATAAAAATATAAAAGTTGTTATTATTATTACCGTATGTATGACAACACGTTGAATTGTATTGAAATTACCATAGCCAAAGAACTTGGCTCAGAACAGTACCAATTAGACCGTTGATAATTAGGAATGTCCACTGATGGCTGTTGGGCCATTCAAACTCTTCCCAATGACCATAATGAAGAATGAAGAATAAAGGCCACAGAAGTGTTAAATTGAATATTCCCACAAAGCCAAAAAACATTGGTATATCCATCTTGTCTTCGTGATCTACTTTTCTTTTTAAAAATACAATGTATGCAGCATAAAAAAAAGCACTGACTAGAGCTAATATTATGCCCGTTGACATATTATTACTTTCTATAGTTAAATCCGAAATACCGACCAGTACCTGCAAGTAAAGAAAATGTTTTTCAACATATATCGCATGATGATATCTAACACATGCATATCTTCTATTCTCTGTATTCAAAAGGAAATGTGAAACGTTTACGTTAGACGTTCTGCTTAAGAATTATTTTATTTAATTGTATTTGCGAGTTTAATTATAATTTGCGTGAGTAAACTTGCAACTTACCAGTCCGAAGATACTAACTATCACAGCAGCTAATTTGGACAGGGTAAATTTGTCTCCTCCATTACTGGGAAAAGAAGCAGCGAGAAATAAAGTGAATAAACTAGACGTCGAAGACAATACAGTAACAATTCTAGCTGGGGTCTGCTCCAACGACATCTGGTATGTATAATTTGCCATGAACCACTGGAAGACAGTACCGATAACACGTAATGCCGAGAGAATAATGTGTTTAATTGAATTTCACATCGTTACTTACAAATAAGCAAAACATAAGAGCTATCTTAGCCACTTTTTGTACAGAGAATTTGTTAGCTTGTCGCCTCGCTTGTTCTCCAGCTCTGACACTGGCTTGATAACTAAGTCGTGCCAATAAAGCCTCGGTGGCATCACTTTCAGACATATGGCGCACTTCCGCCAGTTTGCTGAATCGTACAGAGCGAATGGACGAATCGTCACTTTCCGTTCCTGACGAACGATCACAATGATCCGGTGTTTTTATTGGAACAAACGTTGGATCACTCTATGATAAAATGATTAATTTTGTTAGTAGATTAACAGCGAAACAGGAAAATCTTTTATTTCGCATATGACGTGCATACACAAAAAAGGTCTAGTAATAATTACCAAATCTTAAGTGAAATAATTTACAACCAAGTCTTCGGTCAATATAACTAATAAAATATTTTTACTTTTCTACATATTTAGCAAGTATTAACAAACGAATTATATTACCATATTTGCAGTAATACTAAATATTTAAAAAAGTAAAATATTTTTAGTTGATTAAATATTTAATTGGAATTATATTACTCGACATTTGGTAGCTACTACCAGATTTTTTTTCGATGTGGATCAATTTTCCTTATATCAATAGAATATTTTTTAACATTTTTCTAAAGCAATTTACTTAAAAAGTATCTGGATTAGATCCAATGCATGATATTTTATTTTGCATTATCATTAACGTATGATAAAAATATTACGACGCACAGATCTCTCAATTCTAATAATTTCTCTCACGCATACATACACACACACATACTTACTAGACTTGTATTAGCCTCCGAATAAAAGTTATCATCTTCAACATTAGGATCTATAAACTAAAAGAAAGTAAAATATATCAGAATTCGTGAGATGTACAAGTGAAGAAAAAAAAGAATAATGTGTTTTATGCAATTTCAATAAATACCATATATGTTGCAGGCTTATTACATTGTTCTCGCCAGGGTGGCCAAAAGCACAGGCCAAGCAAATAAAATGTAAACATAGATGTTCTTACATATGTACTAAAAAATGGCCTTTCAAATGTTTCATCCCTGTAGATGTACTGAAATGATATATATTATGTCACTGTAATTTCTATTATAATTGTATATACAAGAAAAATTTTCAAATATATCTAATTATCGATCACACCGACAATTGCAAGTGACAAATGTTGGTAAATAAGCTAGTTATAATATTAAGCTAGTTATAATATTTGTGGAGAAGGTAAAAGATACGAAAAGTTTAATCTTACTTTGGTAAGCTCAGAACTGGAAACCCAAATTATATCGACCAGCAATAGAACTAAAAGTCCTAGTACAAGTCTTTGAGATTTATTCATCATCGCCGCAAGTTTATGAGGATCCTCCGCCATCCCCTGTTGCCTACGCTGGCGTAATTCCACAGAACAGCTCATCTTGGCTTCTTTTCTTTACCACATTGCATTTATACGTTTGTCCCTGTAAAACAATGCAATATTGCAATGTCACGAGATGGATAAAACTGGTATCAATAGAATAGAAACCTTAGTTTAGAGGAAGGTATAACAACTAGTGGTACATTTATCTCTCTTTTTCTCCTGATAGTTGGAAAGCCTTGTAATTACCAGGTGGAAAAGAAAAACTGATCTTTCATGCGTTATACGTCCACAAGCTCGTTTTAGTATAAGAATTCAGGCAGCAAGAATGCACGAGCGCGAGGCCAAACTCACGTAAGCAGGTGTCAAATCAGCGATAAGCGAGACTTACAATTTTTTTCTCAACGTCACACTGACAAGACACCTAACCTAACCGGCTGGTTGCGGCCTCGGCCACAGCCGACGTTGATTCTGCATCACATCGCTCTCTTGCTAATAATTGAGCTTCAATTGTATCGGTTTTCACGATTTCGTGCACCTTCTAACAACAGAGAAATATCACGCTTATTGACCGTAAAGCAAAGCAAATTCGCGCTCCACCATACGTCGTAACAACGCGTTGCAACGCATCTGGCCGCGTCCGCTAGCCGCCTACATCTACATCTTCCTTGAGTCCATTGGGGCACTTGGGGCGCTAGTGATAATGGGCAAAATGGACAATAACAACATTAATAATACAGGTGCGTCAGTGCTATCGCGTCTGATAACATCCATACATATCGGCACAATATACCTCTCTATCTCTCTTAGCTCTTTCTCCCTCGCCGTTTTATTTTCCATTATTTCTAACATATTTGCCGCGCACTACGTTGCACTTGCACTGCGTAAATAGGTTTGTTTTTTTTCTTTGCACTGCTTGCACTAGTTCAAGAAGTGTACACTACATCGTTCTTTTTGTGTACACTTCAACGAAATGACGTCATGTACTCTGTTCTTTTTTGAGGTGTAGCAATACTCAGTACAAGAGTTCACTGTACTGCTTGTACTTAAGCAAGTGTATAATCACAGTCGAATTTGAGAAGAATAATCGACTGTGATTGGTCAATTTCTTACTCTTACTTCTTATTCCGTGTATTGTAGACGACGCCTTACACTTTGTGCATTCCTGTGTGCGTTTGTGTTAAGCCAGATGTCCACGATGCTAGAAATCGGTCCGAGATCTCGGAGAGAGAAAAAATTAACAAATCGCATTTGAACAATTTGATCACATGACCATTGCGATTGGTCAATGCTTTCTTTATCCGAAATCTAGGATCGATTTTTAGCATCGTGGACACAAGGCTTTACGGTGTAGTGCAATATGGCAG